GTTAGGTGTGAAATGTATTTAACATAAATATGTTATTTGAAAGAATATAAAAGTGCATACTGTATAATGTTCATTCATTAGGTTTATTATGTGTTGGCATGGAAACAGCAGGAAGCCCCTCAACAGTGCGAAGACATAAAATGCATGAATGGCCCCTGATTCATTCCTGTTTATTAGTGTAGATCAAATTTGACTGGAACTCTATGTTGTTTCCTCCACTTTCCCCCTCCCAACATTTACCCTGCACCAAAAATCATTTAAGCGAGCTGCAGCAGCACAGGCCAGAACAGTTTCTGTCTTTCACATCAATACGCAAATACACAAATGAATGGAAAACAAAACACAAAACAAACTGTGACTCAGTTGAGCATGTCATAGAGGACGCTGCTTTGACTATCACACAACCCTTCAGTGTTACAGCAGTGTAGTGAAAGTGCATTTGCCTAAAGAAGATATCACTGTGCTGCATTAAAATATTCATAAGTGGTGGGACTCATCAGTAAAGAGAAGAAACGGGTCAGCAAGTTCCTCAGTGTCATGCTGTGAACCGCAACACATGGTAAATGGAGAATGTCAGACTCTTATATATCACATTCCTTCTCTTGTTCCTGCATATCCATCCATTATCTATTCCACCTAAGGGGCGCTGGAGCCATATTGTTTCTTGTTGCTATTATATTATTTTTCTGGGAATTATCCTGAACCAGAACAACATCCGTGTGGACAAGGCCTTGAACATTTGTGAGATGGACTCACACCATACCACATCGTTACATGCAGCAAATGAGTGAAGTCATTTATCGGGGTCCTATGTTATCTAACATGCATATCATATGGCCTTGTGCATGCATAACATTCTGAAGTACATTATTTTGCTGCTGACGGGCAGTGACAAGCACTTCAGGAGGACTCAAGCCCCATCAGGTTTTAATTTACTTTTTTAATACCTAATATTTCAATTAGTCTATTAATTTGGCTAATCCAAAAACTAGGTTGGGGTTGTTTGGATTTAAAAGAATAGTAAAAAAGCAAGAGTTTGTAAAACCCTGTTTACAAATGGAGATTATAATGGCCAGTGTCAGTTCCTAGCAGTGCAATCATCATCTTATTTCAAATAGTTTCTCAGCATATCATCAGTTATTGCTGCTTTATAATCTCGTGTGTGAATCCAAGGACAGGCAGGAAACTTCAGGAAAACCTTTTGCTTCCATCTAGTGGTAAAAGTGAATTAAATTTCTCCTCCACACCGATAGATGGCGCTAATTGAAAAGGTTAACGTTGTGGCTTTGTTGAACGTTTCCGTGTTGCTCTCGGTGAGTCTGTGTCTCCAGTGAAGTGAAACTCAGACTCCTTCAACAAACAGAAGGAAGGTTTGTACTCTTTTATTCAATGTCGTATATTAAGAGAGAGATGATAAAGTGATAATGAACTGTACGTGATAAAAACTGTAACAGAGAAGGTGTCAGGTTGATCAATGGGTCAATATTAAACTGGATTTATTTGTGATAAATAACGAGTATGTCGGACCCTGTCAAGTTTTAATGGTTAAATGTGAACTTCATGCAGAACTTAAACTATTTATAAACCTACCAACAGAGATGTGTCCAACAGTTATTGTGCTGCAGGATATATGAACTTTATTCCCTGATACAGGCAGATTATTCATACTTTTCACCACCATCAAAACAGGTATAATCAAATAGAACTCATATTTATATGTAAAATAGAGAAGAGCAATGTGGACTAAAATTAATTACATCGTTATATCAAAACATGCCAATGTTACTTTATGCATCTCGTTTATGTCTCACAGGATATGGAGAATGGATAGAAAGTATAATTGGTCTCTGAACTTTAAAGCATATAAAGAAACATTGATTTATACTATCAAACTGATGTAGTTGAAGTTACTAATAATATTATAATGTTAGGTGTAATTTTGGATGATGTATTCAAGGCCTGCAAAGAAGAAAACAGAATTAATTTAGAAAATGATAACCTAGAACTAGGATGGGTCCAGAGAAAATTTGTCTTAGAAGATGTATAGTGTATATATATGACATATAAATGGTACCATCAAAGACTTCATTAAAACCTGCATTGTTTATGACAAAGTTGTGTTTGTGGTAACTTGAGTTTTTTTTGTTTCTTATAGCTCCACTGACACTGGCAGTGATGTGAAAGAGCAGCTGTCCTCTTTGAAAATGGCTGCATTACCTGGTGTGAGGGTTCTCCTCAACCTCCATCAATCCATGAGATTGCAGCACAGCCTGAGACTCATTAACGTACATCTGAGGTCAATGTGCCTTCCAGGGAAGGTTTGCACTGGTTCCACAAAAACAAATGAGTTCAAGCCGCCGTTGAACAAAGCAAATGAATCTCTGCTGGAGAATTTGAACCTCATGGGAGTTGATGTGAAAAAGGCTCGCGAGCGACAGCCTGGCGTGTTTCGTAAAGCCTTCACCAACGAGCAAGGCCTTGCTCAGTTTTTGCAAAGCAAAGGTGCCAGCCGCACAGTAATCGCAGGTATCGTATCCCGGTACCCCCGTGCTATCACTCGCTCAATCGAACACTTGGAACAGCGCTGGGATCTTTGGAGGAACATCTTTATGACTGATGCAGAAATTGTGACCATCCTGGATCGCTCACCTGAGTCCTTCTTCCGCTCCAGTGATAATGGGAACCTGGAGAAGAACATACATTTTCTAATAACGCTGGGACTGAACACCAAAGACCTTCACCGGCTGCTGACCACAGCACCGCGAACATTCTCCAACAGTTTAGAGCTCAACATGCAGATGGTGGAGTTTCTGGAAGACGTCTGTGCAGAGCTGGGTGGGACGAATCCAGGGGAGTTTGTAAAAGCTGTCATATCCAGAAATCTTTACATTTTCATTCGAAGCATTAAGAGAGTCAAGACAAACATTGATAACCTGAAAGCATCTCTTAAGCTGAATGATGCAGAACTGCTGGCTCTTATACAAGGCTCTGGAGCGGAAATTCTGGATCTTTCAAATGAGTATCTGAAAAACAATTTTAGCAACCTTCAGCAGAAGATGGTGTCCCTCGGCTGTCGGAAAACCGACATTAAAAACCTGATAATTACTTATCCGATGGTCCTGTACATTGGGTCGAGCACATTGAGCTCTAAAGTGGACTGTCTCCTGAAAGGGGGTATAACAATAAATCAGATAATTGAGAAGCCCAAGGTTTTGGAGTACAGCATACAGAACATCACAGGGCGACTGGAAGAGCTGAAGAAAGTGGAGTATGATTTCCAGAAGAAGGGCATCAACATCCTGGACTCTAGCCGAAAGCGGTTTCTTGCAAAGATAGTAAAATTATCTGGCTCACCTGAAATTTGAATATAATTGTGATAATGTTGGAAGATACTTTTACTTGAACTTCAGGATAGTCATGTTTTCTTGTCTGAAAAACCCCAAAGATATTTAATTTACAAACACATGATACAGGACAGAGCTAATTGACATATCTTAGAAGCAGGAAACTTTTTAAAAAAATACTTAAATGAACATATTGTGTATCACAACAGTTCCTTCATTTTATGCAGAATAATTAGTAAACTGACTGTAAAATTGTTCGTCTCTAATATCAAGTAGAGCAAATGAATCTACGTGTTGTAGAGCTGAGTTCATCTGAAGATGCCATTTTGAAATAAAAGCACAAGATCTGACTACATGTGTTATCCACATTTCCTATTAATGTGCTCATACAAACATTTCTAATGTGAGGTATTTTTTTATTTTAGAAATATTGATGTAGATGGTTCTATTCTAACTTTGATGACAGACAAACAAAAGTATAATATTCATAATAATCACTTCATCTGAAAACTGGGAATAAGCGCCACAGACATGTATAGGCGGAACCGTTGTTCGTTGCTAGTTCAGCACGGACGCCGCCTGACAGCTGCACAACACCATCCTCTCACGCTGCCGGATTGTTGCTGTGTGTCTCAGGGTGAGAAACCGAAGTGAAGTCGGTTTAATAAACTTCGTTCGTTGGGATTTTCAATGACGAGACTTTGAAACAGTCACAAACGGAATAAATCATTGTTCGCGGTGTTACACGCGTCACTAGTCCTCTGTTAGCTGTTAGCTTGGTAGCATGGTCGGGATTATTCAGTTGATGTTCGCAGAATATGTCACGGCAGCAGGTTTCTGTGTCATCGTTAGAAACAACACACAAGTACATCGGTTCATTTATATGGAAGTTGAAATACGCACATCTAATTTCAAATCAGCTCTTAAATGAATGACAGCTATATCTATCAGAAGAGAAGAGCAGGTTGCATAGTATTCTTATATTTGTGTATATGTGTGTGTGCTTTTAATTTCTTCTGATTCACATCTTTAATTTTGTGTGATATTGTTTCATTGCCCAGCCCTAATTGAAAGCCAACTGAGAATTGTGATTCTGATTATATGATACCTCCAGCGTTACCTGAGGATATGCAGCCTGACTGTGTGAGACACGTTGGATCATCAGATGAATATTGTTGTCGTGCTGTGTTTTAAACTAAGGTGGTCAGCTGTTGAGGTCGGTGATGGAGAAGGCAGCAGAGGGCACCGCTGAGAAGGGGACAAATGTAGCTGTAAAGGGTGAAGCGGCCCTCAGACCCGAGTAAGTATCTTGAAAAATTGATCTGAGTCTTTATTGAAACAGAAAGAAGTATGTTACATGTCACCCTATGAGACAACAGGGTGATTATTGTCTTCTTCTTGTCATTGCAGATTCATAACAACCAAAGAAAAATTTCACGGCTATATAGACTCCGAGTGGCAGGGCACAAAAGGAGAAAAGGCCAGTGATAATGGTGCTGCGGGGGAGACAAAGGAGACATGTGTGGACGAACCTGAAGCCAAAAAGTTTAAACCCGACCCAGAGGAAAGCACTAAGGAGGGGAAGCCTGACGGTAAACGCCTTCGAGGTCAAAATAAGTCGAGGCCACACAAGAAGCCGACCACCTATGATGAAAAGCGACTGTGTCTCTCAGTCATTAAGGTATGAAAGCGTTAACTGACTCTTCACAAACATGTACAATAACTCTGTCAGCTGATAATTGCTGTCCCATTTTCTTCCCATTTAGGACGACAGGGATTGTCCTTTTGGAGACAAATGCCACTTTTACCATGACGTCGCAGAGTACCTGGCCTCTAAGCCGGCTGACATCGGGGAAAGCTGCTACCTCTATGATACATTTGGAAAATGTTCTTATGGTCTCTCATGTCGCTTCGCCAAGGCGCACACGACCCCTGACTTCCAAACCATGGAGAACACAGATCTAATCAAGGCTCACGAAGGCAGGAACCCGGTGAAGAACAGCCTGAGCAAAGAACTCCAGAATCGTCTGAGGAAGCGTTCGGTGCCTTTCAAAAAGTCGGCAGAGTACCTGAAAACACTTCCAAACAACGGGGACAAAAAAACACAACAGCGAGGGAATGGTAAGAGGATTGAAGTGGTTTTAAATTTACTGATATAGATTTGTACGTGTTTACAAGTATATCTTCTCCTCTGTAAGCATGAAGCTGGCAATTATATTATAGTCTGAGTCTTATAATGTGTCTTTTAAATGTTTGAAATTTTACTGACACTGACAGAGTGCAGCAATTGGCAGTGCAATGTCTCTAAAATAAGGCTTTGTATCCAAATAGACATATTTAACTTTTGAATGAATTTGGTTTTATAATTCAGTTCTTTCACACACTCAGGTGAAGCGTGTGCAACTAAAGTATCCACAGATCCAGCAGGAGGAGCGCAGCATGTCTCTACTGAAGCAGAAACACAGGTACAAAGTTGGAGTTCTCAGATGACAGATGTGGATGCAGATTGCTGTGTGGCATTATGTGAATAGTTTTCTGATTTCTTTGTGCCAAGCTGCAGTCCTGCCCAGATAAACAGCCTCCAGTGAAGACTGTCGGCCCACTGACTGATGTAGATATCATCAAGTTGCGCCCATGTGAAAAGAAACAGGTACATCTCAGCCAACTAGATATCCTCCAACACTTAATTAAAAGCCAATTCACACTGATAAATATTTGAGACATTACATTTATCAACTAGTTGTGTGGGTACATGGATAAGAAATGTGTGTGTTTGTGTTTATTTGTTGAAGGTGGACTTTCGAGACAAGCTCTACCTTGCTCCTCTAACAACTGTAAGTACGACCAGACTAAATTAATATTGAAATCTGTGTTAATATGTAAAATGATTCAAAACTGTGACATCTAACAGTAGAGTACTTTTTATGTATAAAATAAACCTTTACAATATTGAGAGAACAGGTTTTATCAAATCAGTGCCTATAATGATCCTTCCCCCTCTTTCCTCAGTGTGGAAATCTGCCTTTCCGTCGTGTGTGCAAGCGTTTTGGAGTAGACATCACCTGTGGGGAGATGGCCATGTGCACAAACCTGCTGCAAGGGCAGCAGTCCGAGTGGGCCCTGCTCAAGAGGCACGAAAGTGAAGATCTTTTTGGCGTCCAGGTGAAGTAATTGTGGAAAATCTTAAAAGTTGTGATTCTAAACACAGCTTGTTGATTTTAATAATGTCCACTTCTCAGTGAAAATAAGTTTTTGTGTAAGATTGAAAATTGCATCAGTGCTGAATATAAAAATGTGTCTCCAGGTGGAGGGCTGCTTCCCTGACACCATGACGAGGTGTGCGGAGCTCATCAACACCAACACTGATGTTGACTTTGTGGACATTAACTCTGGATGCCCTATCGATCTTGTCTACAAGAAGGTAAATCTTCATCAAGGAAGGTTTCCCTAATCAGGGAATGTACATTTTTGCAACTTTAGATACACATCGGGCCCAGTGTGAAAGATTTCCTGATCAATAGAACCAAACCTCTTTGGCATCCAGATTTTAGACAGATGGTTTAATATAGAATCATTCTTCAAATATGAATGCACTGTAACTTTTACTGGGGCACATAAGGGAGGCCAGTTAAGGTGATGTAAGATTATATGATAAGTATCAGCTCATTAGAATTTTTGTGTTTTACAGGGTGAAAAACAGACAGGAAAGCTGCATTTAAAGAGAAATATAAAACATCAATGTGACAGATGTCTTTGACAGATGTTTACTTGCTTTTCCTCATCAGGGCGGAGGCTGCGGCTTGATGACACGCACCAGAAAGTTTGAACAGATTATCAAAGGAATGAATTATGTAAGTATCTTCTTTACCTTTTATAAAACATTACATGAAGAAGGCCAGTTTGGCTTTGGTATACCTTACAAGAAAACTCTCAAAACAATGTGTTTGTTTAGCTTGGGTCACATAGACAGTGATTCTACAAAGTTTCTAATTTAAAGTTAAAGGCTGAATGAAAACATGTTTTTCTTCCTGCAGGTCCTCGATGTCCCTTTAACAGTCAAGATCCGCACTGGAGTTCAGGAGAAGAGCAACGTAGCACACAAACTCATCCCAGAGATGAAAGATTGGGGCGTCTCCATGATCACGGTCAGGGTTTAGACAGCAGTCATACCTACAAATGAATAAAATATGATTTTATAACAATAAAAAAATAATGATACTTGTCATTTCCTTACAGTTGCATGGCCGATCCAGAGAGCAGCGCTACACTAAATTAGCTGACTGGGACTATATCACCACCTGCTCCAAGCTGGCCAGTCCGGTCCCACTTTTTGGTATGTTGACACTGAATGCTGATGAGCGCAAAATGTTGAGACAAATACTGGGAAAGAACAACCCCCTCTACTGTACAAAAACAGTAATACACTGAGGAAGTTTCAAGTTTTTAAAGTCATTCACAGGCCATAAAAGAAAATTTGTTGGTGAAGAGGTGACCTAAAGGGACTTGATTTTATTGTACCAGGAAATGGAGACATTCTGTCCTATGAAGATGCCATGAAGGCGAAAGAGACTGGAGTTTCTGGAATTATGCTTGCAAGGTACATAATATAGATTAAATAATGGTAATACCTGACAATACAATATTACAGATCCCAGAAAGTTTGGATTTTGTCTTTTCAGGGGTGCTCTGATTAAGCCCTGGATCTTCACCGAGATAAAGGAGAGCAGACACTGGGACATCTCTTCCAGCGAGCGCCTGGACATCCTCAAGGATTTCACCAACTTCGGACTGGAGCACTGGGGCTCCGACACCCGGGGCGTGGAGAAGACCCGCACCTTTATGTTGGAGTGGCTCTCCTTCATGTGCAGGTGGGAACCATCATGCAGCTTGATATATTGTATTTCTTCGTCATAAACAAATGTTCATGACTGTGTTTCATATATATAATGTTTAGTCATCAAACTGTGGAAACATTTGATTGTTTCAAAATGTATTAACGAGTGATTTTTGTAATTTCACATTTCATGTTTAGTTTTTTTTATGGTGATATCATTTCATTTATAATCTGTAAGGAAGATAGATGGGATGTTTTTCTGTCACAGCTCTTTTTTTATTCTTATATTCTGTAACAACAATACTATCAAATATAATGTAGTTCTTCACATTGAATCTTCATTGAAAAGTGGACTGGAAAGAAATATTATAATAAAGTTTATTTTTCCGTCTTCATCACTCTCAGATATATTCCAGTGGGTCTGTTGGAGCGGGTGCCTCAGAAAATCAACGAGCGACCTCCGTACTACATGGGCAGAAACTACCTGGAGTCACTGATGGCCAGTCAAAACGCTGGGGACTGGATCAGGATAAGGTAAACAGGAAACTCATATTAAAAAATATTCAGCAAGCTGCATTAAGTCTAAAGAGATAATTGAATGCATTTTATCACTATAACTTTTTACCCTTTCTCTTCTCCAGTGAAATGCTCCTCGGTCCTGTCCCGAACAACTTCAACTTCCTGCCCAAACATAAAGCCAACTCCTACAAGTGATTTTCTTTATCTGACAATTAAAACATCCAGTTTTCTTTTGGTTTTTTTGAAAATACATTTTGTTTTAAATGATAAAAGACTATTGAATTGCTTGTTTCTTTGACCTGTAATGAGTACATGGATGTTTGTATACTTTCAATATATGCAATAAAGTCTCTGGCCAAACCAAGATATTTACATTTGTTTTTATTTTTAAACTGATAATATAGAAATTTTGAGATTTACAAAATGTTTTGTTGTGATGTAAAATTAAGATACTGGAATTAATGCAACACAGACCCTTGTACACAGAGTCATCAGTCTGCAAGGCTACATGTAAAGATAATGACATTATCTGTATGAAGCTTGTAATATTGTTCCTTTTATTTAAAGACATTATTCTACTTTGGGGGATTTTAGTAAGTGATTTCGACCAACATTGTCCACATTAATATTCTCATAATGATGGTGTATTTTACTGCTGGTAAATATCTTCTTTTTCTTTTTCTTTTTAAAGTTTCGTAATGTTTTTTTAATTAATGATTTGGAAATTTTATGAAAATGTAGAAAGTTACACTTTGGTATACTGTTCAAATTAAATTTCTTCAAAAATAGACACAGGCCACTTTGTTAGGTACACCTAATAATAAGATTATAATCTAAAGATCTAATGGAGTTATCACTTCTACCTTTACTAAGGTAATAATGTTCTTTTGATAGAGGTAATAATTAACCATATTTTTATGACTTAAGTTGTAGTTTGAAGTGGTGTTGATCTAGACCACATTACAATGAAAAGTGTTTCTACTCCTTTTGCACACAACATTTAGCAAAAATATTAAAAATCAGTTTAATGAAGCGCAATGCAACAACAATGACCGTGTAATCTAATTAACACCTGAGGAACGTTTTGATAAAACATGACCTGAAGCTTTGTAAAGGTAGAATATGTTGTAATGTTTCACTGGATTGCGTCAGATATTAAGGGTCAAACTCAAAGAATGAGAATGATTTATAACACAACAGCAGATAGACATCATTTAAAAGTGATGGCAAAAGTCCATAATAAAAGAAACTCGTATTTTTTTAAGGTTTAAAATTATGTCTAAAAATGAATTTGCGTATTTGTCTACAAAAACGAGTTCAGGCCACAGCGTGAAAGATAATAAATGATCACTTCATTTGTTGTATAAATATAAGTAATAATAAGAATTAAATAAACATTGAACTTCCTCCTCTTCTGTTTCCTCGCAGCTGATTGGTGGGTTTCACTGAACACATTGGTGCTTTAATTGGCCTCAGTTGACAATCAGCCACCAGGTGCAACCAATTGGGCCCCGACTACTACTTGAACTGTGGCAAGACGCAGGCACGCAGCATCTTTATTCAGAGGGTCAGTGGCTGAGGTTGACCTTTCACTTGGATCCATGGCTGGGCTCAGGGTCGAGCTGCTGGTGGGGCTGGTTGGGCTTCTGCTGCTGTCGGTGCAGGGCTGGGAGCGGATCGACGACACGAAGCTCCTCAGTCTCTACGAGGCCGGGCGCTGGGCTGAAGCTCGTGGCTTTGCTTTGGAAGGTAAACTTTGAGGTCACTGACTCAGCTCTGCAATTATGTCTCCTCTGTCAGGATCAGGGAAATGGAGGAAAATCCATAAATCAAGAGCCTAAAGCGAGGACCTGTAGATACTTGAGTTAGTTCTTGAGCAAGGAATTTTAAATTAACTGTATTTTAGGTGGAAAGTTGAGACCTTAAAGCTTCAGTGTCAGAATTCTGTGGTAAATGTATATGTTTCTGCTGAATACCTGTTCCCTTACACACATGACAGAGAACCTGTGGTTGCCTTCAGGTCAATAAACTCAAAAGGGGTTTAGTTTTGACTATACTGGGGAAACACATGGTGGCCTCCATAGAAAGGACCTGCTCCAGATGTTAATCTAAAGTATATAAATATAAAGGGGCTGTTCTAGGGTACAGAAAAATACAAGTTGTACAATTGATTGTGTGTGTAATGTTTGGATTTCATTGATATTAGCACATAAGATAATTTAAGGCTTGTGCAGCTGTTAATGTTCAATTGATTTGATCAGTGCACCTGGGTGTGGAGCTCGCTCCGATCTCTCCAGGGAGAATTGGTTTTCAAACAAATGAATAAATCTCTAGCTGCACTGCCTGATAATTCTACATCAGGAAAAAAATTGATTTTCTTTTATTTAAATTTCTGTTACCCTCCAGATGACAGCACTGGCTATGAGGACAATGTAGTGCAAATTCCTGAAGATGAACTTCCTGAGGTTGAAGGTGCTGCCACCAGTAACATCGATGCTTTTGCCGACCATGGATTCCATGTGGAAGGTGACCATTCTGATTCAAGTCATTGGCCCAGCGGTACAAATGATCAAATCGAGGTGGAATTTGTGAAAGCCCCACCAAGGAGTTGGACCAGTAGTACCAGGGATTCTAATGGCCTAGATGTTGTCTGTACTGAAAATGGCTTCCAAATTACTCTGCAGACAGGGCAATTAAGTGAAGTTAAAGTTTTGGGTAAGTACTTTGATTTTTCTGTGTTATTTTGATGAATGGTTTCTACTTAACATCAAATTTCCCTCCAGGCTCAACCGACTTGTTGCCTGTCATGGATGCTCCAGAGTCTTGTGGTTATGATGTGAACCCTCTTGGGAACACTTTGACTGTACCTTTTGGTGGATGCCATGTAAAACATGTAAGTTACTGAATAGAAATTGCCTTTACTTTTTCATGATATTCAGAACAGTGCTTGAGTTTTTTACCTAAAATTCAGAGTCTAATGCAAAATCTTTATAAACAAGTCCTTTCAGACGGACAGCTACAGCCTGCAGTTACTGTACATCAATGAGTTTGGTCAGACACAAGTTGCTGCAGCGACTTGTGAAGAAAGTCTGAAGTTTGGCCCTGGCCTGCGTCCTCGCGCTGTAGCCCAAACTAAGGAAAAGTGCAATAAGCCATCACCAGCACAAAGTGAGTGCAAATGGAAATGTAGCACAATATGATGATTGTGGCACAGAACGAATGGCACATTGTTTGTATATATTCGATAATCGCTTTTAAAATGTCTATTGCACTTGTATTAGATTGTGCAGTTCCTACGGGGGAGCGGGTGACTTGTGGCACGTCAGGAATCTCCTCCACAGATTGTGAAAAGATGGGCTGCTGTGTGGATTCTTCGACATCAGTTTGCTACTATCCACTGGATGGTAAGGTTTCTGTTCATCTGTTTTCTAAGAAATGTTGGTATTCCAGAAATGGTAACATGATTCTTCTGGTGAATTCTTTTTTCTCACTTTAGAGTGCACTGGGGATCAACACTTTGTGTTTGCCATTCGCTACGACTCTGCATCCATCCCTGTGGACACCACCAAGCTTGTTATTTCTGGAAATGCAGATTGCAAACCAGTTATTGTTAATGACAAGGTCGCTATCTTCAAGTTCAAAGTTACAGAATGTGGTACCCGTGCCTATGTAAGTTTACTTAGTAACTCTTAAATATTGCTACTGCTGAAATGTAATTTGCTGCTTTTGTCTGTTTTTAAATTTAGTTGTCCAAAATGGCAATATTGCATTAATACAACTTGCCCAGCACACCGCTTGTAGCAAGAAGTGGTTGACTAATATTGCATCTATATTTTAATTTGTGTGCCACTTGTAGTTTTCCTCTCATGTTTCTCAATTCACTTGATGTGGAACAAATCCTAGCACTTTCTACTTGTAATCTCTCAACTGCTGCAGGTCTCAAATATAAAATTAAATTTAATGGTTATGGCTACATGTCACTTTAAAAATGCTGGCAGTACATTATACATGGCTGGGAGATCTAAAGCCCACCTGAGGACAATTACTTCTCTCTACAGGAAGTGGGTGAGACAAAGATCTACTTGGCTGAGGTGCAAACAGTTGTCCAAGCTCTGAACCTAAAGTATGGTGTAATTACAAGAAGCGACCCACTCAGGTTAGTGGGCTACAGAGCACATAACTATGTTGAACAATTCTACAGTCATTTACTATGTTGAACAATTCTACAGTAATTTACTATGTCTTAATTTGCCAATCTCAAACCCCTTGTTTTTACAGATTCATGGTTGAGTGCCGCTACAGCAAAGATGGTAATGCTCAGCAGTCACTGGCCAGCGTTGGCTACATGGTCAAGACCCCATCATCCGGGTTACCATCCTCAGTTATCGCCACTGGCTTGTATGCTGCTCAGTTGAGAATTGCTACAGGTCTGGTATTCATTCATTACAAAAACCAATGCTGTTATCTATTGAGCTGGAATAAAAGTTTGCTTGTCTGTATAATCCTAACAGATAGTACATACTCAAGTTACTTGCCCACTTACCATCAACCCTTACGACTGCTCCTTGGCAAACCGGTGTATCTTGAACTGCGTCTGAGGTCTCCCAAACCAGACGCCGTAATTCTCGTCAACTACTGCCTAGCTTACCCTCGCTCTGCAAAGAATGCACTTGTGCTTGTTTATGAAGGGTAAGTATGACCAAGCCCACTGCATTTGCATCAAAGTATCCTTACCCTCTGTCCACCTATACATAACTTGTGTTTGCCTCCTGTAGCTGTGCCAACCCTTATGACACCAACGTGTCCATCCTTAAAGTCAGTGATCTTCCCAAAAACCGCAACCAGAGGCGCTTCATGGTCACTGCCTTCCAGTTCATGGATCAAAAGACAAACAAGTACCTTGATGAAGAAGTGAGTGGAGTACTCTGAGCCAACACTGTCTACTGAAATGTCAAAGTTAGGGCAACAGTATAAGAAGTATCAATGCTGTTTTCTCCTGCAGATTTATTTCATGTGCTCTACGGAAATTTGTTGGCCATTAGAAAAGACATGTGAAGAGCGGTGCTTTGATGGAAAGGTGAGTCTTGGTCTTGCACATTTGTCATTTCTATTGAATGTTGTCTAAACATGTTCTTTTGCTTCTAGGCACCATAGGGATTTCCTGGAACACCTACTGAGATGAACTGAAACAATAAATGCAACATTTTATACTATAGTAACTGTTGTGCTTTTATTTTTATATTGTAGCTATAAACAATGTTATATAGACTTTGCTTGCTTTTAATATAATCAGTTAGAGGCTGTGAGCTTGAAATCTTAAAGGGTCTTCTACATAATGCTGGATTGGTGTATTGAAAGGTTTGGTGGCATAAATAACTAGTTCACATTCACAAACTGTTTTGTGACATCGAGTGGGGGGGGTCTTTGTCAAACTTACCAAATGGTATGTCACTGAAATACTCAACACAACATGCCAATAAACAAATGACATGTTTTGGGAGTGCAGCTTTGACTGTGCATAGAGATGGATGATGTGTCTACATCCTCTATCAAGAACTGAGAAATGTTATAGCCAGTGCCATCTTGCACTGCACACTTGAAGTCAGTCTGTGAAGTAGTAATGTGGGAATGGAGCAGCTGTGGCAAGGTACCACCTATACATGCGCTGGCACAATGTCAGGCTGTCAACTGCCAATCATCACATTTCAACCAGTTCTTTATAACTGAGCAAACTCATAATTACCAGAAAAATTAACTTTTGAACATGAGTCAGTGTGCTCACCACCTAAAATGAAAGGTTTGGCCTGCATTACCCAAGCCAGTCACAAGATGGGGATCGAGATGTTTTGGCTTCACTTAAAACATGTTGACAATCTGAAGATATGGACTGCTACATTCTGAACTTCCCCTCCAGAATCATCCTTTATATGAAAACTGAAGGCTTCCACAGGTTCTTTTTCATGTTTGGAAGTGGAGGGTGAGGGGTGTTCAGCTGCAACATGTAACTTCAACACCAGATATCACAAAATTCTACACACTGAACCTTTAAATGAATATTTTGTAAGTATTTCAATATTTTCAGTAGTTTGATTTTTAGTAAATCTGCTTTTGTTGGTGGAGAAATTGGCCACAATCATTGCTGTATTTATTTCCCTTCATTGCTTTTTCTTGAAAACAAATTTCCCAAATGTTTTAATTAAAAAAATGTGCTTAAATCTTTATTGTGAATCCTGAAATAATTCAGTAAAGATGCAGGTGGAGAATAAATGTTTTCAGTGACTAAATTCCAGAAAAGGAAACTTGTTTTTGTCCATTTCAACTCTTTGTCTTAAAATGTTTGAGTGAGTTTCTGGAGCTTTGGAGAGATCAGGGTGCCTCAATGAATGAATGAATCATTTCTGGTCCACAGTTTACTTCTTGAATAAACAGCTGAGGTAACTGAGGAGGATGGGGTTCTGGACCAGTCTATTCTCTGGACTTGTCTATTCTCTGGACAGTCTATTCTCTGGACCTGTCTGTGACGAAGCATTTGCAGCTTACCCATAATGCCCTGCGCCATGATTACGTGTTAGCGATGGGGGAGTGTTGTGAACCAATAAAGAAACCATAGACTGTAGAAACACTTTCTATCCACAGGAGCTGTCAAGCGAGGACTCACTTCAGCTGCCCGGTGACGAACAACACGAAGTAAGTCCAGACAATCATGTGGTTTGTTTCCGTGTGCCTTTCAGAAATTAGCAGGAGTAGCTAGCTAGCTAGCTGGCTCAGCCCCAGTATAACGCTGTTGCATTGCAATGATTCAGGTGAATATTCATTCAGCTCAAAAGCTCCAGTATCTCAATGCATAATATACACAAGTAAAAAAGTTGCAAATATTCAATATTATTCTATTGAACGTGCGCTGATAAACAAAGATCAGATTCTGTGCTCATAATGAATTAAGCCTATATTACTAAGAAGTTCCTATTTCTGGGAGTTTCTGGTTGTATAACCTTTGTGATAGTTTAGTAAATTCCACAAATTCTAGACTATAGAAAGTGAAACTAACCAAGGTAATGGTGCACTAAAGTTCAAACATTTGAATTTGATGTAACTTGACACCAATTCTTTGATGTAACTTGACATCAATTCTATCTGCTGTTGATTAAAAACTACAAGATGCACAAAATAGCTGGCCAGTCAGCTGGGCACTGTTGCAAAATCACATCAACACCACTTCCTGATATGGAACTTGCACTTCTGCCCCTCTCACCACTTACAATGCGTGCAGGACAGAGGAGAAATACAGCCTTGGTCAGCATTTAGCAGGATGGTGTGTTCTTTGTCTGATAAAACAGCGCAGGGTTGAAAGTAGACTCTCACACCCTCTCTGCCTGTTGAACCCTCAGCTCTTCCTGTCGTTGGCAAAGATGGCTCATCTCAAAACGCTTTTCAAGTATGTGGACGAACACCAGGATCTGTATGTGCAGGTAAGCTTATTCTGATTTAACATAATAGTTTAATACAAGATTAGTGTCAGATGTGTTGCTGTTACAGTGAATTAATCATTGGACTGCTAAGAAATCTCTCTCTTAAAGGTTTAGTGTGGATAATTTAGTGACATCTAGTGGTGAAGTTGCATGTAGCAGCTGAATCTTTACCCAAACCTTACAATTATGTGATTTTTTTATTTCCTAGCGTCTTGCTGATTGGGTAGCAGTCCAGAGTGTGTCTGCTTGGCCAGAGAAGCGTGGCGAGATCAAGAAGATGATGGAAATGGCAGCCAAGGACATCGAGAGACTAGGGGGCACAGTGGAGATGGTGGACATTGGCAAACAGCAGGTGAATGTGTGCCGTTGTGTTTGTATGTTAGAATTTTTCTGGAAAAACCCAGAGAGAAATGGACAACTTTTTCATGCTACTTTTAAAACAGGATCCAAACAGTGTGCCTAATTTAACAAAATGCATTCTCTATAAAAAACTTTAACCACTCCATAACTGTGGCTATATATTATACATTCTGTTCATGCAGCTTCCTTCTGGAGAGGAGATCCCCCTGCCTCCTATCGTCCTGGGGCATTTGGGGTCAGACCCTGGTAAGAAGACTGTGTGTATCTACGGCCACCTCGATGTCCAGCCAGCCAGTATTGATGACGGCTGGGATACAGAGCCTTTTACTCTGGTGGAGAAAGATGGTGAGATCATAATCTTATCAGCTGAGTTTTGGGAACATTTTTGAAGGTTGCAAGATGTTTCCGTAAGAGGATTGACTCAACAGGTCACACGTCCATGTAGTGATTACACAACTGCTAACTGCATTTATCAAAAAATAAATAAACGGCAGGTATGTCCTGTAGACAAGCAAGGAGGACAGTTAAGTAAAAATAGTTTAAAGGATTACTTCCTCTTATCACCTCCGTTCTTGTGATCATATCACTGTTAACATATTTCCAAAGTCCATCCCAGAGCCATATTCTTAATCATGTCTTATCTGCAGTACTCACAGATCGAGTTGAACCCGTGCTGTTGTTTTTAAGGAGAATCAGTAATAGGCTCAGCTTTCCAGAGGGCAAAGGGCTTAAGTCAGACACTGAATGTAGTAAATATATTACACAATTATGGATGTTAATTAGTGTTTTTGTGTATAGTTATATTCCATTTTTATTATTTAAGCATAACTGAAGACACTATTCTCAATTGCCACCTATGCATTGTAAAACTATACACTGTAATATGAATGCTTCACTGGAATAATTTTAAGCTAGGCGGTGTGTTTATCGAATTCTAAAACAACACAAAATGAATTAACTCTGTGCTGTTTCCTAAAAACCCTGTGATCCAGTGTATTGTGTCTCCCTTTTCACTTTTTCCATCCATACTGATACTTTATCAAATCACGTACATTTAAAGTTAATTTCCAATATATATTGAGACAATTGTCCAAAACCTTCCTACCTTTTGCTTGCTGGATTTTTCTGTTCAACTATTATTAGTACGCAAATGTTCTTGTGTATTATCTGGTGACAGTCAGCTGACGGAAAGCAACACATCAAATTCCTCTTGTCTGCTTCCTGTCTGTTTAACTGGTTTCTTCTTTTTTTACTCACATCATGTGACACTTTCTATTTCTTCTAATCTTGCTCTGACTTGCACAATGTGGAAGCGGTCTGCAACTTTGTGTAATAATGGATTGTTAGTTTTTAGCTTTTTTCCCTCTTTCATTTTGTCTTAGAATAGTCAGATGGCAGCAGAGAAAGTAAAAACATGTTAAATCAAGTGTTTATCTCAGACTCAGCTCTACAGATCAGTCTAAATTTGATCTGAACTGACCTGAACTGGGTTTGGCACAGGGAACATTGAGACTAAGAGTAATAATCACAAGAAAACTCTTTTAACTAAAACATCATTTTGTCTTTACAGGTAAGCTCTTTGGAAGAGGTTCCACTGACGACAAGGGTCCGGTGTTGGCCTGGTTTAACTGCATTGAGGCCTACCAGAAGATCCAGCAGGTAGATACAAGCTTAAACATTTAGATCACACATTAATTTATGGTCATATGGTCGGATGAAGAGATATTAAAGGAAAGGAGATAGCACATTGCAATTTTGCAGAAATGAATTATCTCAGTGATAAAGTACAGAACTGATTTAATAATTACTTGTTGATCACGTCTGACCCTTCATCAGGAAAATGGTCAAAGGCCTCTGGATGAAATCGTGAATGGTGTTGCACATCTTATCCAACCAACACTTAATGATTAAACCAAGTCATGTCACCTGAATCTTTTTCATCACATTTACTCATCCCTGAAACTGCAATTGACAAGTGACATTGGTTTTATCAAGAAGAAAATTACACAGGTTATACTTAACTTTCACTCAGCAGCTCCAGTCAACAAATCCACTATCTATTCTATGATCAAAAGTTATTATGATTTTATTGCACTGTTTCAACAATGGAAAGTGAGGCACACAAATTCAACAGCTTTTACAATTAATAACATAAGAGACACCATCAACAGCTTAGTTTAACGAACTATTCTTCATCAGATGGTATAAATGACATCATGATGATATTATAATGAACTGTAATCATTATTACAATGTAAATAAAGGTTGCATTGTTTGACTGACAGGATATGCATCACAATCGGATGCTTTTCATCATTGTTGTGCACTGCGATGTCTGATGATGTAAAGAGAAATTTAAACAGTTAATTTGATCTCCCCCTTATCTTGCTTCATTTTCCAGGAGCTTCCCATCAACATCAAGTTCTGCTTCGAGGGGATGGAAGAATCTGGATCCGAGGGCCTGGATGAGCTAGTGTTATCTCGAAAAGACACTTTCTTAAAAGACGTGGACTACGTCTGCATCTCTGACAACTACTGGCTGGGCAAAACCAAACCCTGCATCACCTATGGTCTCAGAGGAATCTGCTACTTCTTCATGGAGGTGGAGTCAGATTGATACGATGGAGGCGATGTTTTAATTTAGAACAATCCTTTAAATTGTGATCCTACAAAATTCAATGATGCAGCATAACACCAGTGATTCTGAATTCTGTGAAATTGTGTTTTGATGCAACACATCGTTAACATTTTATTCTTATTGTTCAAGGTGGAGTGCTGTGAGAAGGACCTGCACTCAGGGGTGTTTGGCGGCTCTGTTCATGAGGCTATGACCGACCTCATCGCACTTATGGGCAAGTGGAGCTGATTATTGAACCATAACCTCATTGTCTCATTTGAATGCAATTTTAGAATTAAACTCAGAACATAAACTTATGCTTCTCTGAACTGTAGCAGTTTTAATCTCGTGTTTGTCACATGTTGAACAGGCTCCCTGGTTAACGTGAAGGGACACATTTTGGTTCCTGGGATAAACGACGACGTTGCCCCTCTGACAGAAGACGAGAAAAAGCTGTATGAGAAAATTGATTTTGACTTGGGCGAGTACTGCAAAGATGTTGGAGTTGAACAACTGCTGCATGAAACAAAGGCAAGGAAATGATTCCTTCTCTGTACATCAGTCAAAGTAAAAACAAACACTGCTGCACTTCTCTGTGGCCATTTTCCTTATACTGCTGTGATCCAGGTTGCAGGTGATATTGCAAGTCATAGAAACTGACAAACTATGACTACGTCACTGCTACCTGGATGATCAGTGTCAAATTCAAACACATATTTTTAGCTCATTAGCTATGACTGGACAACAGCTAATGTTCACATTCAACTACGTTGAGTGGAATGTAAGTAAAATGGACTGGATATAATTAAGCTAGCAATCTAACATTAAATGACATGTCTTCCTACCAAACCTGTGTAGCATTGGTTGAATGCTAACACTAGCTATTGTCTTATCGTAGCTAATGTGGCTATCAAATATGTTGTTTATCCTTGACACGTGGTCCCATGTCCCCCCAGATATTAAATATTCGTTCTCTAGTTGGTGATCAGTTGAGGAGGGGAGAAACGAAACGTGTGTCCAATTCCTTGGGTTTATATATGACTTGCAATCTGGATCACAGTAGTATAACAGTGACGTGTGAGATGTTAAAGGAAAATGGCTGCTGTGTTAATATGGTCAATGCAAAGGTGTATTAATCTTAATCTTTTTTCCTGTAGGAGAAAATCCTAATGCACCGCTGGAGGTTCCCATCTCTCTCTCTTCATGGTATCGAGGGGGCTTTCTCTGAAGCAGGTGCCAAGACTGTGATCCCCCGCAAAGTCACTGGCAAGTTTTCCATCCGACTCGTCCCCGACATGGACCCCAAAGTTGTGGAGAAGCAGGTAGACCCTGAAATAGAATGGCAGTGTCAAACAGTAACTCTCATTATGTAGTTTTCATGTGATTACAACCATGGTTGTGGTGTGAAAAATATTAGTCCCCGTGTGTGAAATTTAAAAGTTGATGACTTCACCATCTGCTTGAGTCCCTGGTTGTGTATCACACAGATAACTTGCTTGGTTTCACTGTTCACAGAATCTTGTCTACAACTAAAATTGTGCAAGTAAAGCAGATCCATGGAGCACGTAAATTGTTAATGTTGCTCTTGTTTGGCCTTTTGATTAAACATATGTATGTATGCATGTGGTGGTCCTTTGGTTTCACTGATATTCTTCCTTTTTATTTTCAAGGTTAAAGACTATCTGAAGAAGAAATTTGATGAAATGGGATCCCCGAACAAACTCAATGTATATATGGGCCATGGAGCCAGGGCCTGGGTCTCTGACTTCAACCACCCGCACTACATGGCTGGTCGAAAAGCCATGAAGACAGGTACAAAGACTGAGTAACCGGAACTTTTGATGCAAGTTCTTGCTGCCCAGGAATGATTTTCACTTCATATGGATTACTATTCTAACCTTCATCTCATCCTCCTTGCTGTGCCGTAGTCTTTGGTGTGGAGCCTGACCTGACCCGTGAGGGTGGAAGCATCCCCGTCACCCTGACCTTCCAGGAAGCCACAGGGCGTAATGTCATGCTGCTTCCTGTTGGATCCTCCGATGATGGCGCTCACTCCCAGAATGAGAAGCTCAACAGGTATATCACAGCCCAGATAGCATACGGATGTGGGCCACTTCAGGCAATGATGCAGTACTTCTGGATTTCTTGTTGCAGTATGAAAGTATAAAAGCTTTAGGTGGCCCACTTGTTAAATCACAAATGTCCCAAAAGGAAAGTTGGTCACTGAAATATGCATCGCAATGAACAAACAAGCAAACACTAAAAATTATATCTGTGTGATAATGTCATGTTGACAGAGTTTTTTGACTAAATGCACATTAATATATTTGACAAAATGTCACATCTCTCTAACTAAGAAAAGAGGGATAATTTGCTCAAAATAAATAGTATTATTCAGACCAAAGAAAACATTATGTAAGGTGTGTTTTTAATAAGTTGTTATGGTGTTCCACCCAAGTTAGAAAGAAAAATGTGTCTGTTCTGTTATCCACTGTCTAAACAAGCTCATCACTATTTTATATTTCAATTTCAGATCCAACTACATTCAGGGAACCAAGATGCTGGGTGCATACTTCCACGAGGTCTCTCAGCTGGAATGAAACAATGTCTTAACATGAAAAATGTAAAAGAATATCCATCCTCACTATCAGAGCTGTAATCCTTTGTGGTAGAATTTACCTTCCACAATATACGTTTTGTACACGCTGCTTCCTCATAATAAAAGTGTTTCTTTGTAACTGTCTTGTTTCTTTATCACCTCAATAGATTTTTTCCTTAAATGCATAACCTCAATTATAACATCATAACATCTGAATCTTGTTTAGTGTGTGTGTGTTTGGCTGGGTTTGGCTTCAGTAACATGCATCTGCCTCCAGCCCAGGATGATGCAAAAGCTACTGAATTGATTTCCATTGATTTTGCTGGAAGGCTGGGACATAAGACATGTTTTCACTTCCCTGGAACATTGCAAAATGTTATATTATGAAATCAGGCAGGTTTACAGAACTGATAAGAATGCATGTGTGTAATTTGGTGTGGCTTCAACTGAATTTAAGGGGCCTGCATGTTTGGCCTTGGTGGAGGTATGCCCTCTAATGAGTGCCATTATATTTATCAAATGAATTAAAATACTTTTTATGAACCTAAATCATAAACCTTTGGCTTTCTC